AGATCTCTGTCTGTGGCGGATATAGAGAAGCAGCTGGCGCTCCAGGAGCTCACGCCTGCCACTACGTACCACATCCAACCGGCCTGTGCCATCATAGGCGAGGGGCTTCACGAAGGCATGGACAAACTGTACGAAATGATAGTCAAACGACGAAAAAGCCTCAAACAGAAGAAAAAGCGATAACTCTCTACAAAGCCTGCACCTGCCTTTTCCATTGCTGATGGCCTGAGTCACTGGGTTTGCCATTTCGACGTTGCACTGTTGACATTCATCTGAATGGTTGTTTGTTGTTGAGCTGGATTTATGTTGCATGTGATCTTGGTGGCGCAGATGAACCAAAATTAAAAAATAAAAAAAGGAAATAATTTGTTACAAGGGCTGGTCCCAATTAAGCTGCCATTCATTTGAATAGCCTGGTTATCAGTTTGAAGGAGTTTTCTACTGAAGCACTGTGAAAAACGCTGTAACATTTAATGGAATGCTTGATATCTTATTTTGACTCTTATGGAACATAGAGTGAACTTCTGAGAACATTATCGAGAACTGTAGTTTCAAAATCCCAGAATGAAATTGGGGTTTGAGGACTTTGTAATAAACAAAATTACTGTAACTTCACTGGGCCTGAGTGAGTATGAGGTCTCATGAAAGACGTCTAGATTTACAGGAACTCTGAAGAACACAAATGGTGGACTGGGCATTGCCTGTGGCACGGTCCACCTCTAAGCACTTTTTTTCTTACCAAGTTAGTAGTGTACAACACTGTAGATCAGATATTAGACTGTCAGTGTATTACAAAGTCGAGATGAATCCTGAAGTATTTTTCAATTAAAATGTTTGTTAAAGCAAACACCTTGTCTCATGTTCTTTATCAGGATGATATGAGGGTTAAATGTATTTAAGGTGAGTGCAGCTGTATCATGGATGAATCTCTCACCTCAGATTTATCTATGTTTTCAGAAGAAATTGTGATAGCGTTGTCTTCTGTACGTGTTTGTGTTATAGGATCATTGGGAAATTTCACAAGTATGAACTAATCTGGGCTTTTTCAGGCTCTGTTAAAGGGGAGGTAGTTTTGAGTCTACCAAGCTTTCGCTAAACATTGAAAGAAGCCATAAAGAAACAGACTGATCACTTTTCAATTGAACTAGCTTGGGTGTTTTACCTTCAGCATACTTTAATTGAACAAACTCCTGCAATTTTATATACATTAATTTTGTGGTTAACTACAAAAACATATATATTTAATTTACAAATTTTTGTGCAAAAGGTGTGTGTTTGGATAGCCATGCCTTCTTTGTTATATTTGCTTAAGTGAATAAGCCCCCTTTCCAGCCATGCTGACAATGGTGTCTTTCTATCCCATATAACTCTAGGGTTTCATCCCAAGAGGAAAGAGATGGTCAGTCTATACAAAACCCCCATTTAAAAAACCTGTCTGATCACGTTCAGCCCCAGTTATCAATAGGCTGTGATCTTACCTGAAATTTGGAATTTGACTACATTTTAAATTTCCAGGAAATAATTATATAGGCTAATGTTATGTGTGTGTGTTTTTTTGTTTTTTGTTTTTTGAATGTGGTCTTTATTTATCAAACCAAAGTCACATTAAATAAACATACAAGTTTAATGATGCCTTTTTGTTACAAACTGTGAAAAATATCTGTTAAGATCATTTATCCCTGAT